TGCAGTTAAGCACTAAGCAGAGTCATCCACTGTGACTCTGTCAGCAGCTACCTTAGCCTTTTTCCTTTTAGTTATTCTTTTCTTTTCCTCATGACACTGGTGAGGCCCCGCCTCCCCGGCCTCCCTTGACTACACGTCTCTGATACATACATACATACATACATACTTCTTGGAAGGAACACTGGAAGAATTAATTTTAAATAGAGGAACAGTTCAAAATAGCTGTTTTTTCTCTCCCATGGTATGGGAAGGAAGAGGGTAAAAAAGAAAGCTGAAAGAATTATCATCAAAGCCGCTACAAAGATTTGAGATGAGGTAAGAACTGCTTGGGAATTTTTGAACCCAACTTGCATTTCTATATTTTCATAATTCATCACCCTCCCTCAATTCAGTAACATTTATCCATGAAAGGCAAGTTATATCTTATCACTCTAAAAGAAAAGAATAAAAAATAAAATAAAACTTACAATATGCGAGGCTGGGATCCAAAGGATTTCTGGTGCCATAGAAGTAGTAGGCATCATCATATGGAGTTCTATAACTATCCGTCAAAATTGGAGGTGCAATAGGTGGTGGGAGGGGGGCAATTCTAGACAAAAAAAGATGAAGCAACTTTTTAAAATGGTACAGAAGAACTGCTCATTCATAAACATCAGTTACAGTTAGCTCAAGTTGAGGATGAACTATCCCTGAAGAAATAAATTGGTATATTGGAGATTCTTCCAGATTTACCATTACTGTTAGAAGAGAAAATAGAGGCCATGGCTAGGAGGGCTTCGCCCAGCTTAGTTTGCTATGCTAGTTGTGCTTCTGTCTGGGACAGGAAGTACTGATGATTGGGACCAATGACTTCAATATCACGTGATCTGGCTACTATAATGGGACTGCTTTTGAAGTTGACTTGGAAGCTATAGCTGATAGAATGCAGCAGTAGCCTGACACTACTGCATTACACCTATTCTTGAGTTGCTGCATTGCTTCAGGCCTCAAATCAATATATTATTGAATTATTAGAAATTTAGGAAATCTACACAATTAATACATTGACAGCACATAGAAGGCATTCAAAGAATAGAGTCATTAAATGTATATATTTAAATACAAAGGATGTAATATTGGAACTTAAAAGGGAACAACATTCCTTTAAAACTTAGAAATATAATAACATTTTACCAGATGCCCTTTTAAAGCAAACAATATTTGTAATGTTGGTCTCCAAAAAAGAAATATCAAACATAGTAGGATGTACCATTTTATCTGGAGGTTTTTATGGGTGATGGTAAAGCCTCGTCTTTCTCAAAATAGAATGCTAAAGACATTTTTGAATTACTAAGAGAAATAATACAGAAGATAAAGCACTTAATTAAGCAGCAGTTATTTTTCCATAAAATTAAATATTGTGTGTAAAAGGGACATTTATTTCTTTGGCATGAAGCAATCAGAATCAACATAGTGTAAGCCAATGTTTGATCTAGAACAAAAGACAGCAAGAAAATGACCTGTAATCAACTAAATGTAATGGAAAATACATTAGATTTATAAAATGAATGTATGGAAACCTTAATTTAAACCTGTTAATCATCGCCCAAATCACCATTTCACATTAAAAGAAATACAGGATACTTTTCCTATTTTTCTCTTTGAAAGCAATGCCTACAAAGAAAGCAATTTCTCATTTTTCTATATGGAAATGGTCCAGTTCAGATACACAAATCTAAGTCAATACCCAGGTTCCTAGACATTTTGTCCTCTTAACACTGCTTCATTCTTAGTATCAAGCGCCTAGAAATCAACTTCTTCAAAAAGGACCCACATGTTTTGAGAAATTGATATTTTTTTCTAACCCTAGTTTATTATATCTTCTCAATCTGCATGCATTGGAAAAGTAGGATTAACCAAGAACCTCTTCAGCTAATTATAGTCACACAAAAGCAACAATGCGAAGATGAAGTTTGTGGGCAAAACCCATTCCCATTTCTAACCATTATCCAATTTTAAAGTGAACACTACTGAAAATCACCTGGGAGCCAACACTTCTCCAAGAGCACTGGACAAGCCTCTATGGAAATATTCATTCACTGGTGACACAGGAGGTGCAGATACAGAAGTAATTCCAGGAGAAGGAGTATAGAAAGCTGGTCTTGGTCTTTCAGGTGGTATTTTTTCCTCAGGTATATCTAGCTTTAATCCCAACTCTTTTAGTCTGTTGGGCTATGAAAGAAAGTTGATTTGTTTTTATTAAAAAAATTATTTTAATTGAACAAAAACACAAAAAAAGCATCATCCTTCATTACATCTTGTAGAAAGTGTATTGATTGGTTACAGATAACTCGTGCATTTCTTCCACAGTCATTATAGTTCATATTAGATTATACACTTTAAANGTGTTAGCTTGGCAGACTGGATTGCTGCCAACGCTTGTCTGACCTAGATTGCTGCCAAGGCTTATCTGTGCTGGTTTCCTGCCAAGGACCTGTCTCTCTGTGAATAAATTCCATAAAGTATGGCTCGGAGTGCTTTGGGGGGGGGGGGGGTCAGAACATCCAACCATCATTTTCTTAATGCAATTCTATCAAATCAACTTTTTAAAAATCCTGTTATAAACAGTTCTTGTTGACATAAAAGCAAACATTTTTCAACCATATTATTTAACCAGGAAAAAAAAATCCTTCTATGCTGTAAATTCGCTGTAGTACATCCATTTTACTTGTATATCAAGATGCCCTTTAGCAGAGAGTGTATATATAAACAGCTACAAGTCTGAAGAACTAAAAGGAAGATAATTAGATTTTCAAACATACTTATAAGATTTCCTTTTTTGTCTCTGAGAGGAGCTCCACCCCCTCCTTTTCCCCAAGGATTGTAATTTCTCATTTCAGCTTCTAATTTGGCCTCATAGTGTTCTTTTTCTTCTTTTTCTTGCCTACGGCGTTCTTCTCTTTCCCTGATCTATATAAATATACATGAAACAGCAATTATTTTTAACAAATACTGAATTTGAACAATACTGACATACATTGTCCTATTGTGATGTATACTTACAAATTAGATTAAAATGTCCAGTTCTTTAATTGGTGTTTAAAAGGATAATCAGTAACACCTAGACCAGGACTAAAAATAATAACCACAACATATTTATACTTATTAAAAATCATATGGCATTTTTAGAAAGCTATTTCAATATTCATATTTTCTAAGTATTGCAGGAATTTGATCTTGTAATAATGGTGTAAATAATACATTAAAGTTGGAAATATACTGTAGACCACGGGTGTCAAATTGTATCACGTGATGTATTGCGACATATCATGACAGGTTTTTTGCCTTTGCAGATCTGGGGTGGGCATGGCCTACACAGGATGCATTCAGCTCACAGGCCACCAGTTTGATATCCCTGTTGTAGACCTAAGAAGGGTCCTTGATGTTCTCTGAAATTGCTTGTTTTCTTGCAGACATTTCATTACCCAAACTAGGTAACTTCATCAATGCTAGTAAGGAGTGCAGTTTGCTGTTAGTTTATATTCTAGAGACTAGCCTGTCAATGTTGGTGGGGGTGGTCTTAGATTCTTTGATTGGGCTGTTTGCTGTTGGCTTCTTTGGCAGTTTCTTGATTAGGGTATTGCTTACTTGATTGTTGGTCTGATGTTAACCTTGGAGTTAATCTATGTTCTACTGGGTGCTGATTGCTAATGGAGAGGTGCTTAGGTCTATTTGTCCCCCTTTTGGCTAGTTGATTGTCTCTTCTGAATAATCTATAGATATTGTTTATGTCTATGTGCCTATTAATGGCTAATTTGTTAGAATGCCAGGTTTTTGGTCTAGGATAGTCAGTTTCCCAATTGAACCTACGATTAAATCTGTCTATATGTTGTGAAATTAAAGAATTTTCATCATGTCTTCTGACTGCTAGTTGGTGTTCATGGAGGCGTTCTGCCAGTCTGTTTGTCTGTCCTACATAGTGGTTGTTGGCAGTCTTTACATTGTATGTTGTAAATGACTTCTGTTTTTTCTTCTGGGGTTGTTGGGTCTTTTGGTCTGCTTAGAATGTTTTGAAGGGCTTTAGTTGGCTTGTGTGCTTTGCTGATTCCATGTGGTTGCAGTAGCCTGTTGGTAGTTTCTGAGATATTGTTGATGTATAGCAGTGTAATTCTTTTTAGGGTTTGTGTTGGTTGTATTTGTATTGAGTTGAGAGGTCAGGGACTTTTTGATAAAGTTGCATGGATATCCATTTTCTTGAAATATGTTGTAAAGATGCTCTATTTCTGTTTTCTGCTGTTACCGGTTGTTGAAGTGTGTTTGGGCTTGTCTAAATAGTCCTTGAATATGAATGATATGAATATGAATATTGAAGATATAAATTGTCACCTGTACCCCTGTACCATTATGGTCCCTTGAAATCTTATCATCCTGCATAATACTTCTATATACACAGAGAACAAAAGGGGTGGATAAGAGGGGGAAGAAGAGAGAGGGAGAGGAGAAGGTTGTCAGTTTTGGCAATGTACCCAAAGTAGACTGGAACAAGCTGTCTGTTTTAAAGGAACTGATGCCAGTGTTTATCTAGAAATTCAAAATATATGAATATAATATCTAAGCATATATCATGGTTTGCAGCATGAGTGTGTAGTATTAATAATTTAAGATCATTTGGTTTATTAATGAGAAATTACTTATCAGAAAATATTATTTGCTCTTATCAATTTTTTTTAAAAAAATAACACCTCAATTGAAAATACAAAAATAATTTCTGGACAGATTTCACCTGCCTACCTGCTGTTGTAATTCTTGCTGATAAGCTAAAGTAGCGTCTCTTGTGGATTTTGGTTTTTCCTCCGGAAATATTCCCAAACCTTTTGGTCTAGTACTTGCAAAGCTTGCTCCAATTTTATTGCTGCATCAAAAAGATTTAAACAAAGTGTATTTTAAGTGATGTTTTCATAATTTTCCTGTATAATGTCAGCTACAAATGTGGTCTGCTTTATATATTATGTTCTGAAAGCTGACAAATCATTTCAAAACTGTATTAACAACTAGAAATAAATAAACAATATTAACTATTGCTTACTTTGTACTTTTTTGTACTTACATGGGCAAAGGAGGTTTTTGAGTAGCATCAAAAGGTTGTGGTGCAGATGAAGGCTGTGTCCCACCTGCACCATCTAAAATAGCAAAGATATCCAAAATGTAAATCTCAGATGTATAGCAAAATATAATATACATATTCTGAAATAATAAATATCAAATTATTATCACCAGAAGCATGCTAATAGTGTTAATCAGCTGGTAAATGATGCTAGGGTTATAAAGCAAGATGTCACATGACTGTATCGCTTAGCAAATACTATACCAGCACTTTCCATTGATGTCATTAAGCAAATGCAACCATCTGTTAGCCAAGCATCCACCCCCAATCCAAACCATTCTAGGCTTCATCCCGTCCAGCCCCAAGTCTCAGTAAGATAAGAGACTGCTTCCAATGTCCCCCATGCATCTACCATCCCCCCATCTCTGCCCTTTTGGCTCACACTCCTGGGTGAGGTTGGGCTGCAGAAAAGAAAGGAAGTCAAAAGCAGCACCAGAGCTTCAGTACGCCAATATGCCCTTTTCATACTCCTGTAAAGCCTCAGCATACTACAACTCCTCCTCCTCCTCCTCCTCCCCACTCCAGCACAGAGACATTTTGTTGCTCTGACAGTGGCTGCTTTGGCTCTCCGCCCTGCAGCTGAAGCATGGACCAGCCTGGTCTAGGAGTATGACACAAATGAGCATTTTGGAGCACCACAGCTCTGAGCTGCTTTAGGCTTCATTTTTATTTTTTTACAGCTGAAGCCAGGCCAGTCCACCCAGCAGCCAGTTGGTAGAGCACAGATCAGCAAGTTGGTGTGTGTGGGTGGGGTGGAGATGGGACAAGATGAAGTGCTCTATGGTCATAAGTGCTGGTAGGATGTCAAGTGCCTCAATTTTGATCTTGTGACTATGGGAGTGGTGGGAGTAGTGCTCCAACTTCTGTAATTTTGGGTATGGATCATACATCCCTTTATTCAGCACCATTGTAACTTTAGTCACTAGACAAGTGGTTGTAAGAGGGTTAGCATTATGGCTCTGTAAATCCAAGGTGGTCCTGCAGGGATCTGGTCTCAGTTTCAGTATTATTCAACACTGTAATTAATTGCCTGTATAGCAACACTAATGAGTTGCTTATCAAATTTGCAGATGACACACTACAAACTACTGTTCAACGCCCTCCAAAACAGAATAAGATTGAAATCTAATTTAGACAAGTTGGAAGACTGGATTAAGAGGAACAAGAAATCTTTCAATAAGGAAAAATGAAAGGTATTACATTTACAGAGGATCCATACAAAATGAGGGATATGGGGTTTGGAAGCACTATGTCAGAGAAGGACTTGGTTGTGGTCACTGACAAGGAAAACATGAGTCAACACTATGAACTATTAGAAGAACCAATGTAATTCCAGATTACATCAGAAACAGAATTGTATCAGAGACATATGAAGTACTTACTACCTTGCACTCTACTAATAAACCATATCTGTGGTAGTGTGTGATTCTAAGTACCACATGTGCAAAAGGATATTGGCAGATTACAAAGATACAGATATGGGGATTAAAATGTTTGCTTTTATGTCA